CATTTCCTGGAAGCTGCCCTGCCACAAGCAGCCCCACCATACCATCCTCCCCAGCGGGGTGTAGTTTTAGGTCATGCCCCAGTACCAGAAACCTCCTCCATCCTCATAGTTCCTGCCCTGTACCTCCAAGCTGTTCTGGGAGCAGCAGTCGACTGGGTGATGTTGCTCTTTCGGCCCCCTGCAGCAACTGCCTGCTCTGCTCTGGGGCTTAGGCAGGCTCCCAGCCCTCTCTGCCAATCAGGTGGCCTCCTGCCTAACAGACCACCTGATTGGGCCTGCCCCCACCTGCAGGCTGCTTACTGTCTGCTCAGACCCCTTAAAATAACAGGCACAACCTGTGCTCTGTCACAGCGTGTTATTGGATAACTAGAGGAGCATGCAAAATGGGGTGGTTAGAAGAATGCTACCATCACATATTATTAAAATTACAGAAAAAATTTTTAAAAAAGCCTAGAATAGATAAGGATGGCACAGAAAGAATTCAGATTGAGGTGAAACAAGGTTTTCACTCAAAACTACCTAGTATACTTGATGACCTTGGCCTTAATCTCTCTTTGCTCAAGTTCCCACCTTATGAAGTGAGGATAATAATACTACTTCACTGCACAAGGGTATTCTGAAGATCAGTTGATTAATGTTTGTGAAGAACCAAAATACTATGGTGACAGTACCATAGAAACACTCAGGAGGAAATTAATGATTTTGTATTCAATGCAGGGGTTGGACTGTGTGCACTGAATAAAGCTGAATGAGAACAAAAAAAATTGATTACATGTTCAGTGAACAGTTGCTTATTCTATTTACTGAATGAGGCATGGCTTCTATTGAAATATGTATAGTTCTGTAATTAAAGCCCTTTCACATAATGCATATACATAATTTTACTTTAGTGGAGACACAATCTTCATAGTCTCTTTTTATTTGATCTTTTCTGCCTATTTCTGATTGAGGGTGGGGGAAAGAGGAATTTTGGTCAGTTCCTGTGTAGCTGCCTTTTTGAAAAATGGAATTTAAAATAAATTTTAAGAAATCAACAGACATAATACCATTCTTTAAAACCATAATACTTAGGTCACATTTCACAGACTCTGGCCTTGAATATAGTTTTTCTTACCTAAAACAAAGTTCACAGAATATTCCTGATTCTTACATGTAGAAACGATTGACTAATTAAACCGCATATTTTAACTGGGCTTTAAATCTGCAAGCAGGAAACTTTAGTTTAAATAATAAAATGTAATTTTGTTTTGCATTTGTACTTTTTAGTAATTTTCCTAAAGGAAGTTTGACCTTTTTTTTTTTTTTTTTTGTTTGGCAATCACTAGACCATTTTGTTTTGCAGCTAAATATAATGTATTTAATTTATATAATACCTAATGGCTGTATTTAGGACCTCTTTTGTTAACCAGAAGAATATGCTATGTTGCTTCTGTCGGTGTTGTAGGGCTTTGGCCCCTTCTTGATAGGTGCTTTGCTCCCAAGCGGCATCAGGGTGAGATCGGGCTCTGGTGCCACCCAGATGGTGTGGGTGCTGCTCCTCGCCTGCCACGTCGATGTTCTTCACTGGGTAGGCAGTTCCCTTCAGGTGGCCCCCAAAGTGAAGAGGTCTCGACCCTGGTCTTTCTTTGTGGGCCTCCAAACCTCCCCTTTACCCCACTCTTACCACATCCACGGCCTGCGCAAATGCTGTACCCTGCAGGTCTTCCCCTGGATGACCTCTTCTCATCCAGACTGCCCACCATGGAATGGGTTGGGCCTTCTTGGTCAGCACAGTCTTCCCCATGGCCGGTTCCTCAACTTCGGGCAGGGTTGGGCATCTAAACCTGCCCCAGCTTGGGGCTAACTGGAACTAAAAATGAATTCAACAGAAAATATCTGGCCTCTGCCGTCGGACCCCTGGGATCCTGTCTCCCAGTGCCCGCTTGGTCACTCAGTGGGGTGGGGGGAAGAGAAGAAGAAGGGGAACTGGCCCATCCTGTCCCTCCTAGTAGTTGTGGGGGTTGACAGCTGCCCCATGCCCCACCCTGATCCGTCATCCCAGCATGACCGCTTCCGGGTCCCAGCTGACCTGTGGTCAATCTTCTGTTCCTCCTGAGCTGGTGGGGCTCATAGTTTCCATGCTGGGCTGCATCTTCCTTCCTGCCTGTGAGGGCTAGCAGCTCCCTGCTGCCATCCCCAGCCACCATCCCTTGGCCCCCTAGGCTTGGGCTCCTTGTGCAGTCTGTCGGAGCCCTCCGGCAGATGCTTTGCTCTGTTTCCTTGTACTCCCAGCTTGTGATCCTTGGCTCCGCAGATGGCATTTCCCAGCCAGTGTCCCGCTCTTCCCCCGCCAGCCACTCAGCTGTGTTCCCAGCTGCTTTTTGAGCGGCCCGTGTCTCTCTGAAGCTCTGCCCCCGTCAATTGCAGATACGCAGGCTCAGGCAGCTCCGGAATTGCAGTGCCTGCGTCCGCGTTTCTCCCCGGCTGCCGCTCCTTTGGACTCCTGCAGTGAGTATTGGGGTGCATGCGGCAGGGGTCTGGGACACACTAGAGGGGCTTTTACTGCCCCTCTCACAGCTACACATTTTATTTAAGCAATTTTATAGTTTAACCTATGTACCATTATATTCATATTTTTAATATTTTCCATTTTCATTTTGTTGAATTGTTATTTCTTTTTTACTTCTGAGGTGTGTCAACCAGTATTAGGATGGAACTTATATTCAACTAAAATGCATAAAATAGCTTATTTTATTAGGCAAATAAAACCAGTTTAAAAGTGTTAGATGCATAAGAATAAAGTATGTTTATCAAAACATGCTTTGTATTTAAAGCTGATCTACTATGTAGCAGAAATATAATTTGCATTTAATGAATTGACTTAATTATTTCTGGTTACTGTGTCCTTCAAGGTCTTATAACAAATATTTATCAGGCTCACATACCTAGCTTTTATTCATAAACTATTTACTGAACTAAACTAGTTGAATAAAAATATTTTTTTTCCCTTCCAAAAGAGGACAATGCCCAAAAATTAATTTAGCACTTCTGCAAACTCAGGTTTTAGATGCTTAACCAATGACTTCCATCAGTTCAGTTGTTTGACTTTCTTTAAAATGTTGGCAGCAAACATACTGCTCAATGTTTTATTTAAATTATTTAATATAACAATTTTAGGTTTTAATATAGAATGCAATATTTTTAGA